TCCTTAACCCAGCTGCCTCGTTCATAGAACATGATCTTGCGTATCGAATCAATTAGGGGACATACATTTCATATGCAGGTGATAATGGTATATTGCGACATAAGTTAAGGAAGTTGACAATAGAGACTTTGATGTCATCGCGCTAAATATCACAAGTCTAGTTGTCAGTTTGCCATCAATTTCTGTCTTTAGTAACACATCCAAAATATGAAACAGAAGTGAAAGCCTTTGCGGAATGTTTTATTTCGAGTTTAATGGAATATACATTGAATCAATGTAGGAATGGAAATAAATGTTCTTAATTGATTAAGCGTAGTCGATACATCCATTTGTCGAATTAAGGCCAGAACAAGAGACTTCTTTTAATGTAGAAGTTTTTACATAATTCTGCTTCATATGAATACAAATATAGATCTGCAAATGGTACCAATGGGAACTCTAATAGATTTTTGGAAGACCTGGACTCTGAAAACCACATAGATATTGCCAATGATTACAAAGTATCTTTTTGATATGAACATCAGAGTACCAGAGTGTAGAATCAGATTTTTTTAATACAAAATATCTGCATATAGCTTCTTATTATCAGAAATTTAAAAATCACTGAAGGTTGATACAATTCAATCAATAAAGTTAAGATTGAAGCTCCACTTAAAAAAAGTGTCCTTAGCATGCATTCTTGGGTAATAGAAATTCAAAATTATTTCAATGGATAGCTGAGCCCCTTGAAAGGAGGTTTAATCAAGTGAAGTCAAAAATAGGGTTGGTACATTAAAAATCTTTTTCTCAGGAACCACTGGACAAGAAAAGGTAGGTTTCCTGTGTAATCTCTCTGACAGTGTAGATTACAAATCGCTCAAATCATGGCCCCCTGAGAAAAAGTGGGGTCAAAATAGGGAGTCAAACCCTAACAAAAGAATACTATAGTTAACTATAGTTTACTATAGTGATGAATTTGACTCTATGAAAACTATAGTTAACTATAGTGATAACTTTGACACTTTGATTTACTGTAGTGATAATTTTGAAAAGTTTGATTGACTATAAGTGATCACTATGACACTATAGTGTTAACTATGAAAACTTTGATTTACTATAGTGATTACTATGAAAACTTTGATTTACTATGGTGAAAACTTTGATTTACTATAGTGATTACTTTGAAAACTTTGATTTACTATACTGATCACTATTACACTATAGTCATCCCTTTGTAAACTTTGATTTACTATAGTGATAACTTTGGCACTTTGATTTACTATAGTTAACTAAAGTATTTTTTGTTAGGGAAATTTCACATCGTGAAGATCCGATCCGCGAGTATAATGGAAAAACTTTAAAATCATCTCTAAAACCACGGCAGGGCTATTTGAACCGGGAGGGGCAGGAGGAGGCACCGGGGGGGGGGGGGGTTGCCTCTCTCCGATTAGTTTTGCTGATATATACTTTACTATAGAAAACAAAGCTAATTTATACTATAAAATTTATATGCTTCTTACTCTCTTGCACTTTGCAAGGAAAGAATAATTGTATGTATAAACTTCCTGATTAGTGTAGTATATAAATTGTTCACAGCATGGTCACCAAGGATAGGGTTAGGTCACATTTTAAACAATGTTTTTTCATAGGAAAATATAGCAACATATCTTTAAGAACCTTCTTCTAAAGAAGCCAGGGGAAAGACTGTAATTGTGTACTAGCTGACCATTTAGTGTAGATTCTAAATTGCTCAAGTAATAGCAACTGGGATTAAAATCTAGCCACAATAGGACACCAAATGTTTACATAGGAATATATCGGGGACTTTTTTAAAAAGAAGTTTCTTAAGAACCACTTAACCAGAAAAAAATGAAACTTATGTGCAAGCTTCCTGGCATACTTTAAATTCTAAATTGTTCAAATATAGGACCTCAGGCTTGGGTGGGCCCACAAAATCTTCTTCGCAAAAACTACTGGACTAGAAAAGATGAAACTTACATATAAGCTTCCGAATATAGTTCCGAATATATACATAGATTAAAATTGTTCAAATGATGAAACTACGTAGATAGGCTGGGGCCACAATAGTAGATAAAAGTTTCAAATGGGAATATGCAGGAAAATATCCAAAAGTTTTCTTTAGTATAAATCGGCCTAGATCGGTGATGATAATACATGTAACCATATCATTATTATTATTATAAAAAATCACATAGCGCTAAATATGGGTAAATTACTCTAAATCGCTCAGACATTAAAATTATTGAAAATGTATACGACAATTAACTAGATGCATGTTTAAAGTAGGTATAATAAATGATAAAAAAAAATTAAAAGATGTGTCAAAACTTTTCTTCAAACTGCATAGACTTTGTTCATGCCTCTTATGTGCAGGGAGACTGTTCCATAGTTCCAGTTTGCAGTCGCAATAACATCAAGGCTTCAAAGTTATGCGATTCTCAAATTACTTGGTTAGATTGCAAAATTGAACTAAAAGCCTAGAATTCTCAGAGTGCAATGATCGAGCTTGGAGATACAAATTCATAAGGTCATAAGCCCTTTATATTTCGTTTTATTTGTTAATGATTAACCTAAATGTCTGAAGCACTCAAATGTCAGGATATGTGCAGATGATACATCACAGGATGTTTCACATAAATTTATTGAGGTTTTTGAACGAAGGCTAAACGATGATCTTTCAAATTCTATGAAATAGATGGAAAGCAAAAAGCGTACGATGAACTGAAAAAGCAACACACAAGGTATGTTACTTGGTACATCAAAAAAAACTTTCATAATGTAAACAATATATATTAAAAGTATGTGATATTACTTTTAGACACTGTTCGAAGTGCCAAACTTGGTGCACAGATAGATGAATGTATTACTTCGTTTGAACACATTGAATCTTTATGTAAGAAACTCCCACTGAAAATGGGCACTTTATGTTGTTTACAAAATTCTATGTCAAAACAGCATTTGTGTAAATTCATGACACTGTCACTTGTCCTCATTTTTACTATTCTTGTACTATTTGGTGTTCGGCCACAAACAAGGTTTTTGTTGAAAAACTTTAATAGGGCAGCCATATTTATTATGAAAGTGAAAGTAACTCAGACTCCCACATTTGACATTTTGCGTGCTTTTGTAAAATTGATGACTGTTATATATGGAAAACATGTGCTTGCTTTTAAGATAAAAGCATACTCCAGATCTGGGTAAATAATGGTTCTCAATCAACGCTTCTATTTTTTGCTACTTTTAGATTTAAATTTTCTTCATTATAAAATAACAGTAAATATACATTTATTTTCTTCTTCATGTTTTTTTGTGATCGGAAGGCCGTATGTTCAAATCACGGCCGCGACTGACCTAAGTAGATAAAAATAGGTAGCAGCTGTTCCTTCGCCAAGCGCTAGGCACTTTGAAGTGAAAGTTGCAGGTATTTCGAATGAGACCTTAAAAACCGTGGTCCTGTGTTGCGGTAAGCTTTGGCACGATAAAAGGCCCTCACTGCTCAATTGCCATGAGTGCCGAGTAAAGTTCTAAATTTGAAACCCTTCACTGGCATATAGTGACGTCTCTACATGAATGAAAACTTCTCGAACGAGACGTAAAACAACATACAATCAATCAAACAATCTTCATGTTTTTGCTTTGAGTTTTAGTGTAGATATAAAACTGATTGATTGATTGTATGGTGTTCTACGTCTCATCGGAGAATTTTTCACTCATATAGAAACGTCACCATATACCGGTGAAGGGCTTTAAATTTTGATCTTTACTCAGCACTCAGGGCCATTGAGCAGTGAGGGATCTTTATCGTGCCAACGTCTGCCGTGAAACGAGGCCTAGGTTTTTAATGTCTCATCCGAAGGATTCGCAACTTTCACTTCAAAGTGCCGAGCGCATGGCGTAGGAACTGTTTGTAAAGCTCATGCTTTGAATTGTATTTAAGAGGAACTAGGAATTCATTCGACGGGTTGCAATCCAACTCACACATATACCTCCCTTTCTAAGGAGGAAATTCTTCAAAATCATATGTCCATTTTAGATATTTTTAATATTCACAACCATCAAAATGAATTTGAATTACCATACCTTAACTGGATTCCTAATCATCATAAAAATCCTTACAAACGAAGATACATAGCGGGTGTTCTACCAAGCCTCTTTCTTTACTCCTCACTAAAATATTTACTGTAATGAAGGAGAAACCTCAGGGATACTGTACAATATATTCAATAAGTGGTGAAAATCAGATGTGGATACTTAAAAACTCCAAAGAACTTTTAGAATATTGGAAATCACAAAATTTTACTAAAATCAATAGCATCAAAACGTTCGACTTTTTCAACACTTCATACAACCATTCCCCACGATAAATAGAATTCCAAAAAAGCACTCTGATTGTACACACAAGTACTCTTAAGTTGTTTTTAAAAAGATGCTTGACTTTCTGATTGACAATATCTAATATGTAGTTTTTGGAGATCAGGTCTTCCAACAATCTGTTGGAATTCCCAAGGGTACCAATTGCGCCCCCTTATTAGCAGACCTATTTTTGTATTGATATGAAGCAGAATTTATTCAAAACACAATCCAAATCAAAAAAGGAAAATCAAAATTCCTTTTTTTTAACCCCACATTTCAAATCTGAAGCCATTTAGGCCACAATATCATATAATGCAGCTCCTCCAGTCATTTTTACAACACAAAAAACCAATGAAATTTAAACTTGTGGATCTTTTATTCTACAAAGTCAACGTTTATAAAACATGTTTCATGTTAAAAGAAAACTGTTTGAGGAACGTTCCTCTTTCTCTTAAATTTCTCTGTATTATAAACATGAATCTTAATACCTTGTGTTTGGAGGAACGTTCCTCTCTTCAATTCAAATGTATGTAAAGTACATGAATCCTATCCAACAGTGATTTGAAGAATGTTCCTCTCTTTGATAGAGTTGTGAAGTCCATTACATGATTCTTATAACCCAGTGTTTTGAGGAACATTCCTCTCCCAATTTCAAATGAACTTAATATATACATGAATCTTTAACAAGGAGCCCTGCGAGGAACGTTCCTCTACCAATTTCAAACGAACTCAATATATACATGAATCTTTAACAAGGAGCCCTGCAAGGAACGTTCCTCTACCAATTTCAAACGAACTCAATATATACATGATCAGAATCTTTAACATGGAGCCCTGCGAGGAACGTTCCTCTCCCAATTTCAAACGAACTCAATATATAGATGAATCTTTAACAAGGAGCCCTGCGAGGAACGTTCCTCTCCCAATTTCAAACGAACTCAATATATATATACATGAATCTTTAACAAGGAGCCCTGCGAGGAACGTTCCTCTCCCAATTTCAAATAAACTCAATCTACATGAATCTTTAACAAGGAGCCCTGCGAGGAACGTTCCTCTCCCAATTTCAAATGAACCCAATATATACATGAATCTTTAACATGGAGCCCTGCGAGGAACGTTCCTCTCCCAGTTTCAAATGAACTCAATATATACATGAATCTTTAACAGGGAGCCCTGCGAGGAACGTTCCTCTCCCAGTTTCAAATGAACTCAATATATACATGAATCTTTAACAAGGAGCCCTGCGAGGAACGTTCCTCTCCCAATTTCAAACAAACTAGGTATATACATGAATCATTAACAAGGAGCCATGCGAGGAACATTCTTCTCTCAATTTCAAATGAACTCAATATATACCTGAATCTTTAACACAATGAGCTGTAAGGAATGTTCCCCTACTTTACAGTTTTTTACTTAATACATGAATCAAAGGATATCTTTATCTCCATATTCCACTTAGTGTAATTTACATAAATGAAGCATAAACTGTTTGTATATTTCTAGCTTTGATTTGTCCAATTATTTAAATTTAATTGACAGGTGTTGCAGATGCATAAACAATGTTATGCTGAAGGTTTTTTTACATTTACACATGTACTTTAGTGTTCCTTCTTTCACAGCATTCATGTAACATGTTTCACTCTTGGTTGGAAGGTGAACCAGATAAGTATGCTATGCAATGCAGAGGATTTTACACAAGTATCCTATTCGCAATGTTGAAGGTGTCCATACATTTCTTTCCATTTACTCACACAAGAGAACCTGAAAAATGAATTTACAAGTATTATATAAAATCATAGATAACAGTATACAGTTAAAGTATATCATTGAGGGAGTCAAGAAGATTCCAGTCCCCCAAGAGCAAGTGCATTTCCTGAAGCACAGTCATTTTTATTATAACAAAACCAAAATTAGACTATTTTAAAATCCGTAACTGCAATCCTATTTTATTCACATACAATTTTGAGGTGCGCTATGGAAACATTGATTACTCATAATATAGAAAAAAATAAATATAGTCTTTGCATTTGAATCTACTGTCTATAAACTATGTATCTGCAAGAAACTTTATTTATTTTATAAACAATTTACACCATGGTGTAACTTCAATTTCTTCATTGATTTTACAAGATTCAGGTGTTACCCCAGTGATGTCATTTCATTCACTTGTACACTGTGACAAAATTACATGGTCCGTCTAGATCTCACAGTGCACATTAGTTTACCATGTTGATGACACAATAACAAATTACTCTTTCCCAAAAATTAGGCCCCGCCTCCTTATATATATCTTTAACTAAGCTTCATTATGAATATTCATGATTTTATTTGGAACATATCAGTACTTTTCATATGATTAAAAGAAATTGCTAGATGTTCCAAATAGGTGTGTATCAGTTCATCAAACTGATGCACCTTTTTGCAGGGAATCAGTCTGTTATACAGTGATTTTCAGGGAATCAGCAAAATATATGGATTAACTCATATAGTGAACAAGAGGCCCAGGGCCGCATCACTCACCTGAGCAATTTGGCTAGGAAAAAGCAGAAATCAGTTCAGTATTGAAAAGATTACCGGGGGAGGGGGGTCTTGAATTTTCAACTACTTGAAGATGCTTCCATGTCAATATAACAAATGGCTTTGTTGTACTTGAGAAGATTTTTTTAAAAAATTTCCCATATATTCCTTTGTAAAAATTTGATCCCCCATTGTGGCTCCTCCCTATCCCACAGGTCATCATTTGAACAAACTTGAATCTACACTACCTGACGATGCTTCCATATCAATATGACTAAACAAAGCTTTTCTGTTCAGAATTCTTGAGAAGAAATATTTTTTCTATAAGTTCTTATGTAAAACTTTCCACCCCCCCCCCCCCCCATTGGGCTCCACCCTACCCCCGGGGGTGTTCATTTGAACAAAATTGAATTTAAACTACCTGAGGATGCTTTCATATCAAAATGACTACCGGTAAACATGATTTTCAGTTCTTGAGAAGAAGATATTTTCCTATATGTTCCTATGTAAAATTTTTGATCCCCCGTTGTGGCCCAGCCCTATCCCCAAGGGTCATCATTTTAACAAACTCGAATCTACACTATCTACACTACCTGAGGATGCTTCCATATCAAAATGACTAATCATGGCTTTGCAGTTCTTCAGAAGTAGATATTTTCCTATATATTTCTATTTAAGACTTTGATCCTCCATTGTGGCCCCACCCTATCCCTGGGGGTCATGATTTGAACAAAATAGAATCTACACTACGAGAGGATGCTTCCACATAAATATGACTAATCATGACTTTGCTGTTCTTGAAAAGAAGATTTTTCCTATATATTTCTATGTAAAACTTTGATCCTCCATTGTGGGCCTGCCCTACCCTCAGAGGTCATGATTTGGACAAACTTGAATCTACACTACCTGAGGATGCTTCCATATAAATATGACTCATCATGGCTTTGCTGTTCTCGAGAGGAATATTTTAAAGGTTTTTCCTATGTATTTCTATGTAAAACTTTGATCCTCCATTGTGGCCCTGTCCTACCCCCAGGGTCATGATTTAAGGATACACCAAAGGTTTCCAAAAGCCAGAGTTTAATTTGCATGTAATTCTTTCATTATCTAAGATAACATAATAAAAGTATATATATCATTTGAAAGCTTGTTAAATTTACTATCTAATTATCCTAATTTAAACTTTAATTAATAACTTATTTAAAAGTTATTTGAATATTAATGTAAATTTAAGTGCATAAATAGTTTATAAATCAACTTTTTTGTATTTAACCCCTCAAAGTGGTCATTTTGCCTCAAGGTAGATTAAAGATTGAACTTTAAAACTGTATCTCAGATTTTTGATAAATATTCTAATTCAAAAGTTACAGCCATTTGCCCTTCAATATCACCAATTTATTAGCCTGATTTAACATTTCCCTCAATAATTCCAAAACTAAGCTAGATATCAAAAATCTGAGATACGGTTTTGTGAACACGCATCTGAGAAGCAACCCATCCAATTTTCAGAGAAATTGGTCAATTATAAATAAGGGAGCTGATACCATAAACTGTCTGATCTTACTTTACAGTAGAGGGCAAAAACCCATTACACAACAAAATCTGCCAAAGCTAGGAATATATGACACCTTGGAGATTCAGCTTTGGATACCTGTCACTTAGCCATATTTCCTATGCATATTCACAAGAATGGGATTTAGATGCTTTTAATTAAGTAAAATAGGTTCAATTCTGAATCAGAAAGATTTCCCGGCAAATTGGCAAGAGCTAAGCTCCACCTCCTATTTTATGGTCATTAGTAATCTGTTAGATCTCCTTCTCTAAATCTAGAGTCCCTGTAGTTTAATTACTGATAACCTCTGTGTGGCTAGTGAAGAATTCCCCAAGTGGTCACAGTGATTTATTGCGTCTTTCATGAGCTAGCAGTCACAGATCAAATCAGAAGCTTCAATAACGGAACATTCACATGTGGTAGTGTTTATGTTTCATTATTGTTAAATAATTAGAAAACCATTTCATAATTACCAAGAATTTTACATGCATTATAAAGCAGTAATTAACTTCTTTTTCTTAACCAAAAATCTCAAAATTGTTGAAAATCTTGAAAAAAGCCTTTGGTGTATCCTTAAACAAACTTGAATCAACACTACCTGAGGATGCTTCCACATGAGTTTCATCTTTCCTGGCCCTGTGGTTTTGAGAAGAAGATTTTTTAAAGATGCTATTAATTTTTCACTAATTCTTTATTATCTCCCCTTGAAAGAGGGCGTGGCCATTCATTTGAAAAAACTTGAATTCCCTTCACCCAAGGATACTTTGTGGCAAGTTTGGTTGAAATTGGCCCAGTGGTTCTTGAGAAGAAGTCGAAAATGTTAAAAGTTTACAGACAGACAGACAAACAGGTGGACAGACAGACGGACGCCGGACAAAAAGTGATCAGAAAAGCTCACTTGAGCCTTTGGCTCAGGTGAGCTAAAAACTAAAATTGTCTTAAATTAATATATGCCTAAGGTTGTACAACAGTATTAAATTTTCTTACCAAAAATGCACAACTTTGAGTAGGTGGTATTAATTGAAAACAAACTTTGAGAAGTTTCCTTTTCAGATCTTGTAAAACAATTCTTATAAAGATTTTAGTACCAAATAATACATAGCCATCCCTCAAGGCACGCAAGTTTCTTTCGGTCGAAGTCGAGCAGGTGCTTGAAAATCAAGTCCAGGACCTAATCACTCCCCACTCAAATACAGTATATAGAAAAATCAGCACGCCCTAAATTATAATGAATCTAGTCAATACAGGAGGTTAACATATTGTTTTTCATCTCATGAAAAAAATCAGCTCCAGTATTGTGTTGAAATGCCCGAATTGGAAGGGAAGATTCAGGAATTATTTTGCGTCAGCCATGATTTGACATGAACCTCAAGTGAACTACTGTTATGACACCTGCATAATACACTTTGCACAACAACTTAAATTAACCTTTAAAAAATCTGCCAACTTGGTAAAAATATATGTTGTGTATTTCCATGGCCTAAATCTAAGATTCAATTATCAAGGTGTATTTGGTTGAAGGTGATTCCATATATATATATATACATGTATATACATGATATATATAAATATATATATATATATATATATATATATATATATATATATATATATATATATATATATATATATATACACACACACACACACATATATATATCTATACAGCTAAACTTTGAAATCTTGAACACGGATATCTCGAATACCCCGGATATGTCGAAGTAAGGCCGCGGTCCCAATGAAATTTGCTTTATATAAAATGATTAAAATAAACCCCTCTATGTCGAACAAGGTAATGTTGAATACCCCGGTTATCTCAAAGTAAAATTGTGTACCCATTTATTAAAATCACATGCGTTATCTCGAAGTCAGGATAATATTCCGCTCTGATGATCAAGTCCGTTAGGTAAACTGACCGCTCTACTGTCTGTCATGCACGGGTTACCTGTGTTCCTTTGATCAACAAATAAAAGCGCGATAATTATACGAGGTGTATGTATGGCTTACCTTGATTTTAATTATGCAAGCCAAAGGTTGTGTGTATTAGTTTATGCATATGCGTGGATGACATGTTAATTGTTTCATGGCTGGGGTACGTTTATCTTGATAATCGCTATTTAATGCTATGCGTTATATGCGCCCTTGCATAGTTTATGCATATGAAAGCGAAAATTATAAACATCAAAGTGAAACAAAATTCTGTAATTTAATGCAATTAGAATTTATTTTTCTTACATGTGTATATGAGCGCGCAGAATTTACAACCGTCAGTAGACACCATCATGTGAGCAAGTGTGGTAGTGAAAACTTCTGCTATAGTGCCCTGTGATTCAGTGTTCTTCTGTAGTTAAACAAAAGTGCATGTTTCGTCTTTTGCATTTGATTTTATTATGGTAAAATATTTTATTTAAATGATTGCACATGTATGAACATGTTTTTCCAATAAAAAAAAATTGTATATTTCGTTTGCGTTATACTGACAGCGACTGGTTTTAAATTTATAATGCATAGATGATATCCGATTATGTATACATGGGAAACGATGCTAGCGGTTGATTTGCCGGGTTGGTAGAGGGATTATACGTCTGTGCATATTATACAAAGTTTCTATTTTTTGAATAATAAAGAGGATGTAAAAATCTTTTTAATGCTAATTACGTGTATATTAAAGAAAACATATACAGAATTTCAAAAAAGAATGAATTTGACATGTTTCTACTATTAAGTGCATGTTCACTGCACTAAGTTTATTTGAAGTTCATTAGAATTATAACCCTCGATATGTCGAACCCCCGGATATCTTGAAGTTCATCAACGGTCCCGTCAACTTTGAGATAACGAAGTGTAACTGTATATATATATATATATTAGGGATGTCAAATCGGTCAATTTTTGATAATCGGTAACTCAGACGTTTTTCTGATCGACTACCCGGGTACTTGGTAAATATAAAAAAGATGTAAATACAAGTGCGTTAATTTTCTTCAGCAAAGTTAAGCTCTGTTAAACCCCAAAACTGTTTTTATCTCGTTTATAAAAGTATATAAACATGGACTCCAATGGAATTGATTATTTGGTACTAAATTTATTCATCAAATAAACACAAAAGACACAATTAATACCCCAAAATTCAAATGGCTTACAGTTCTTGTTTAGGATCTTTCTCATCAATGCAATAGGAGAACAGTTTGTTACACAGGTTTGTGATGATTAGACTAGCGAAAGGGAAGGAACGGACGTTGTTGGGATCACTAGTCTAAGTTGGTTTGTTACCCCCGTATAAACTTACTACACAAACTGACTTTCAACATTATTTTGAATCTTTTGATATTTCTAAATGTTTCACTTTTGAAGTGGGTAGCGGCATTTCTATGCATGTCCGATTTCACTGCCATATATTACTTAAATAATTTAAAAATGATTTGAAGATAATAGCTCATACTTAATCGAATCAATGTTCACTGTAAGCATTCATTGAAGCCATCCAAAAATTAAGGACCACAATAGGTGAGAACAGCTGTGTACCAGGAGATTGGTCACTAATTACTGTATATACACAGCCACAGGCGATAACAGGTTTTTTACAGGTGTAGATGACAACACGCTAATAACTGTATGCAGTTTTAAGTTATTTTTTGATAATTTTTTATAAAAATATGTACTTTGAAATAAGAAAAAATACTCCTCCGAGTAACTGAGTACCATTTTTAGTATTGGATACTCGGACGTTGGATCGAGTACCCAGTTAATTGGGTACTCGTTGACATCCCTAATATATATATGATAATAAAGATAGTCCATGAAAGCTTGAAAGATATTTCCAATGAGCAGGCGACCACGATACCCTTTCACGTACAACCTCTGCCAATTACAGGAATTGAACTCAGTTTACACGGTGAGAAGTTAGCGCACTACCCAGACACCTCTGATCATGAATACAAATCATAAATTCATACAAAAGTAAAGTTACCTCTGGATTTTCATCTTCATTTGTAAGCATTCTCTGCAAATCTTCAGGCACTGCTGGATGTTCCCTGCTGTTGTCAGAGTCCTGAATGGAGTGTGGGTTGTATTCTGGTATCTTTGGAAGATACCATATTGCCCCTTTTCTTGAATACCTACTGGCATTGGTTTTGGTTTCCTGCAAGAATGTTACAAATTTTTCCCACCATGTACTTTCTGCTGTTGTCATCATCTTTGTCCAAATTGTCAAACTCTTCTTGATATTTGCTACATCAACCTTCTCCAATGATGCTGTCAATATATTTGGTACATTTGTTGGCAGCGTTAGGGTTCCATTTTCCCTTTGCTTGAAGAAACTTCCCTGCAAAGACTTCCAGGAATGGTCCACATTTTTTCTGTAGCAGATGTGCACATCCCCTGTCAACTCATTGAGTCTATACCTTAATAAATATGAAGGAGATATCCATTAGCTCATTTTGTCTCATTCTACTTCTGTTATGATTTTTTTCTTCTTTCCATATTGTATCTAGCAGACAACCGTAAACATTTTCACTCCATAATAACCTCTTATTATTAAAATATAAGACAAAGGCTTAACCAACTACATTTTGTAAATCTTTTTGTGAATGTCAAGCTGAATCTTCTCACAGTGAATGACTCTTAAAGATGTATAACTAGTATCATTTATTATATGATTGAATAATTCCTAATACTCTGATTGTGCTACACTCCTCCCCACACCTTTTTTCTTAACATAATTTTTTACTATTAGTTTAGTATGAAAATTTTTTTTGACAGGTTGGATGTCTTTTCTTACTTTCTGATACAAGACACCACCAATCATCTTTCAAAAGATATTTAGTCTACTGCACAAAATGTAGGAGGAGTTCGGGGAAGCAGGCTTTTGGAGAAAAAACATCATTTTTTTCAATCCCTTCCTTAAAGACTAGTGTCTATAAATATGTTCATATAATTTACTATCTAAAATATAACACACCTAAAGGTGTTTGTCCTTGTGTGGTATTTTACACCTTTTAAGCAAGGAGATAACCATCCAGATATATCAAGACATCCTCTTAGTTCTTCTGCATTGTAGAGTATGTCACTCATCTCAGGGAGTGTTGCTGCATCTCTGTGTCTGAGATTATCAGCAATGACACTGAACATTTGATCTATATCCTCATGTGTGTGCCCCACATGAAGAAAGGAAAGTTGGACCTGAAATATCAAGATTTTGATTTTAAAAAATATAAGCACTTAAATCCTAGGATAGGCTTTGAACCCCCCCCCTTTTAAATCCCCCCCCCCCCCCCTTAAATCCCTTTTTATATCCTCTAAATGCTTTATCAAATCAGACAGCTTACCTAAAAAAAAGACTAAGTTGTATTTATTCATAGCATTTTTCTGTATCTTTCCTTTGCCAGTACTGTAAATTTATAAAACTTATCTTAATACAGAGTCTGCAAAATGCTTATTAACATGTACCTCATAAAAAATCCGACGCCTGACTAAAAGCTCCAAGAAAGACAGGACAAACTTGTTCTTATTTTCTCTGAAGCAGTTGTCTGCCTGTAGGTAAAGGACAGGAGGCAGTGATTTTCCCTGTCAGTGTAAGAAACACATTTTGTTCAAATTTCTCATAGCTGATTGATACACAGTAGATAATTGTAATCAATATTTCTGTTTGCTACCTTTGAGTGGTTCCATAGCACTTTCATCAAAACATTCAATGTAAGATTGGAATCATGTTTGTACTGGTGCAGGTCTGTAAACAGATATTTTCTATTCAGGCCATGGCTCAAAACTCCAGTAACATGCACATTCAGTTGCCTTGTTGCTGCAAATTCCTATAATGAGAATCAAATATTATTAAAGAGGGAAAGGCAGTGAGGCATAAAAAAGTAAACATTTGCTTTTATCTTCTGTATTTCTTAAAATTTTATCTCCTTCACTTCCCAATAATATCCCTGCTCATCGCAATACAAGACCTTGACAACCAACATATTACCTTGATAATTAATATAAGAAGAATCGAACCATTCAAAGTTATTGATTTGAAGCATTTATTTTGTATCATTATTTCAAAATCTTACAATAACAGCACGTTGACCTTTGTAACCAAGGGTTTCTGATGTACTACTCTTTTCACAAACCCTTGGCTATGGTATTATTAAAAGTTGGAATTGTCTACATAATGTGATGTCAAATTTGTTTGTTGTTTAACGTCCATCTCAAGAATTTTTTACTCATATGGAGATGCTACCACTTGTTGGTGAAGAGCTGTAAATTTTGCCCTATGCTTGGCACTCAGAGCCATTGAGAAGTTAGGGATCTTTTTCGTGCCAGCATCTTCTGTGACACGGGACCTCGGTTTATACGGTCTCAACTGAATGACTGGTCTCTAAGTCCCACAGTGGGATTCGAACCCACGACATAAGGATCAACTCCTTAATCCATGACTCTAGTACTTTCAGTCTAGAGCAGATGCTCTACTAGTCTGCTCTAGCTACCACTGTGTCACATGGGCAAAAATGATACAAGTCATACCACATACATATATGTATAGACAATGCTTGCATTTTTTTTTTTAAATGTTTTTGAAAAATAATTAAAAAGCAGATCTTGAGCGGTCTTTTTTTAGGGTGCAAATGTGTATGATTAGTTGTATCTGCAATAAAGAATCCTGATCACACTATGTGCACTGTGAGTGCTATATTATAGAAAATGTCATACTATTTTGCAGATCATTGTTTTAATACCTGACCATAGAGTAAAGAATAAGAGATACAATGTATTGTTACAAAAATAAATGCTTATTTCAAGTCAAATATACTTATATAATTTATTAACAAACTCTAATCAACAAACTTGATGGGAAAATTCTGACGGGGTGGGGGGTGGGGGGGGGGGTGCATGATCGAAAACACGTACTTGGCTAAAAAAGATGAATTACTTAATTGAAAATCCTAGATTCTCATTCAATTCTTTTGAGGTGGGGGATTTTATTTCATATTGTTCAGTTTGTTCTTCCAGACTTTCTTGTTAACTTGATCTATCGGTGCAAAGTAAATATAAATAATAATGCCCAAATAAAATTCACATTGCTCCATTTAAATGTTCATGTCTCTTACTATACATCCTTACCAATCTTTCACAACCAATGATCCTTGTTACTTACGATCTATTACCATCTTGTCAGACGGTCAGTTGTCAAATTTTCAGACCGACCTTTGTGGGATTATTTGAATACCGATCCCGATCAGAATCAAGACAAAGAAAAACTAGGGGTGGACAAATAGGGGAGGGTGGGAATGACAATTTAGAAATATTTTCATTATGGCCTAATATCTTTCATTTATTTTTTGTATTCACTTGTTAGAGGTAGATACTTAGTAACAACATTTTCTCTTTAATAATATGTACTATTTGTACCTTGCTTGGTCTTCCCTTAAAATGGGGAATGTTTGTTTTGGACTGATCCATTCCATCAATTATGAGGCTTATGTACCTATCTGGTCTTCTTCTGCTTACTGTTTTTCGTCTGTAATATGCACTTTTCTCTTTCCTAAAAAATAATTATTCGATAGAAAAGTTTTAACTTGCAGATTAAATCAATATTTCTTCGATCAGCATATTTTATGTGCGCGTATTTTGAATTTTGCTATATCAATTATGAATTATGCATACATCACAAACAACAACATCATTGTTGCATTGTTATAGTATGAATGGAAAACTGTGAATAACATTAAGCAATTTATTTATTTTTAGTGTTACTAAGTCTGTTCGATAAGTTCCTTATTAAATTCTGTTATGAAAAATTCAAAAACATACTGTACATCAATTCATGTATTAAAGCTCAGAGATTAACTTGAATTACACTTTGAGTTGATGACAGATTTTTTCATTGTTACGCAGTACTACATATACTTGCGATTTATGCTACATTGTAAATAAGAAGTTGATACATTATGTATTTACATTTGTCTGTGAAGATGTTCTTGCTTCTTTATAAAAATTTCCTTTTTTTTCTCTGGGTTCAATTGCTTGTGCAGTTCTCTGTCAAGCTTGTCACATGTAGTGCATCGAGTAAACAAGTTGCTCTGTAATACATAGAGGTATCCAATGATATGAATTGATCAAACAAAAGATTTATATAATACTACTTAGAAATGATGAACTTGTAGTCTGTGATTACACAATTGTTAAAATAGGAAAATTGCTCACCTGTTTAATTTTCACATGTGGAAAGTGTTCATTCCATATGTTGAGGAAAGTCTGAAGAGATACACAAGCTCTGTTCTCTTCCTCTGTATCCACTTTATACCCAGCATAAATTTCATTTTTTCTTAAACCAAAGGGCAGCCAAATTTCTTGGATGTGAGGTGGATTTTCTCCTCTCATCGCTATATATTCTCCAAACCAATTGATAACATGAAGTCTTTTTTCTGATGTTAGCCTTCTTTCGTTAGAGGGTGGCACTTCTTTCCTCAACCATGTTCTTCGTTCCTTGTAATAGATTGATTGCTTAATCCCATAAGCAATCAACCAACTCTTCAAGCAAACCCTGTGGCCTTTAAGAATGAATTTAAAGGTTCCCTTTTTTACACATTGAAAGTCATCAAACTTTCTTTGAAACCATTTTGGCCTATCTGTGGTATTCAATCTCCATAATGTCGAATGGCAATTTTCAATTAATTCTTTTGTGAAAAAGCTTTGCCTAGTACATTTCTTTGGACAAGAACACTGATCTAGAGAGGCCTTTTTAATAGTGCTTTTGGAGATCTTTTTTTCTTGAAGTCGAGATCTTGATGACAGAGCAACTGAAATATAATTATTAATAATTTGATTGCATAATACAAGAAGTTATTGATTTATACTATGTTCAGAGTTGAGAGATCTTGAACAAGAGGTACATGGGCCATAGTGCTCACATGATTTCCTATGGCCATTGTGGATTTTCTCTATACACATGTATATTCCTACATCGAGCTTTGATTGCCCATTGTGGCCCCAACCTATCCCCAAGGGCATGATTTGAACAAAATTAAATCCACACTACTGGAGGATGTTTATATGTATTAATAAATACAACAAATCATAAGAATCTAGAGAAGAAGATTTTCCTTATGTACATGATGTATAAATTTCTATGTTGACAAGCTTGGATCACCTATCCAGTCCCAACCTACCTCCGGGGGTCATAATTTGTACACTACCTGAGGATGCTTCCAAACAAAATGAAAATATAACCTTGCTTTTGCTCTTCTTGAGAAGATTTTTAAAGATAGAAAGAAGATTGATTGGCCCATCCTATAGCTGAGGGTCATGATTTGAACAAATTTGAATGCACTATAGCACAATATAGCTTGCACTCTGGCAAAATGGGTCTTGAGAAGAAGATTAGAAATATGTCATTGATTTATCTTCAGTATCTCACTATGAAAGAGGGTGTGGCCCTTCATTTCACAAACTTGAAAAGAGAGAGTGTAAGTAAGAGGATACAAAAATTTTAAAATAAAAGTTTTGAATTGTATGATTTATTAAATAAACATTGAGAAAGCATATAACATAATTGTAAATAACTTTTGTTAAATCTGTGAAGCACATAAATTAACTTCTTAATAGCATGATTTCTAATTTAATTTATTTAGCACAAAATACGTATGTTTTCATTTGAGACCTTGAGAGAATTACCTCGGTATACTGATTCAGCAGATATCTTTGATATATGTAAACTGTCTTTTTCTTTTCATTTATGTACATTTTACGGGTAGCTTTATTCATATAATTTATTCCTTTTAAACTTTACAAACAGGATTGTGTGTGTGGGGGGGGGGGGGGGTGTAAAATCTTCATTCAAAAGAAAGTCATCAGGTAATATTAATTAGAATTTTTAATTATTAATGGCACATCTTTATTGTTTTTCTTTTGCTTTTTTCCCTGCCCCAGGTTCCCTTGGACCTGACAAATTCTGTAACTTTCTATTGCAGTCCATGTTTTTCTGTATTTCCAATTATAAGTCTAGTTTACTGCTGTTAAAAAATACTAATTTACCTCATCAGTACTACACTTGGACTGGATGAATGTGAAAATTCTACTTGAAAATTCTGTCATAAACTTTGAATTAACACCAAGTCTCAGAGATCCATTCTCTCCCTTCCAAATAATACATAAAATTTCATTATCTTCCTTAATAGATTTCTACCCTTGTTAAAAAAAAATCTGAACTTAAAAAAATATAAAATGTACACTATTGATCATTTTTCTGAATCCAGAACTCAGACTGTCTTTCTTAAACAGTTAACTTGTAAAATGAATTTACACTTCTTTCAATGATGAAGGCATGTTCATTATAAATAAATAGTCTTCATTTCTTATATTTCTGCAAGGCAGAAGCTCCCATTTGGTTTACACGTCTTTGATTCTATAGACCTTATACATGTCATTTGAAATTTTATTATTTTCCATCATTTTTAATGAGGAAAAAATAACAAATTTTATCTTAACTTAAAAATGACTTATTTTTTTCCTAACAAGATCTCTGGAATTCAGGACCTCCAGATCCCTCCCCAATCAGCTTGTACTCTTATAACTTTAAATCTTGGATAGCCCCTTCTCAAAATCATATGCTACGTATGTGTACTGCTGTGTTTGCAAATTTTGGGGCTTGTTAAAATTCCCATCTTCAATGATTTTTTGGCATTAAATCAGATAATGATTTAAAAAGTTCTGCAATCATTTATAAACTTGTATACCTATCATATAATTAGCCATATTATCTAACCATAGTTTAGATACAAATTTAAAATACATCTACCTTGTATTACTTGAAAAATTATATAAAGGTTCAGTGATGTGTTGATAACAAAAATTATTATAATTTTCTTAAGCAAACTAAGCATATTTATTTGAAGTTTATGATCATATACATGTATGAATGAAGTTAATTTATATTAAGTATACATACCTTTAATATGTTTCTTAGGCGTACTGCTCATTAAAGGCTCAATAAAATGTAAATTTCCAAATGGCTCTGAATCGGTGGAACATCCACTTGTTTGTAAATCGGATGATATAAGAGAAAGTTCTTTACTTATCTCACTTGATTGTTCATACAAATCTTCTTCGCGTATATAAAACGCTTGAACAGGAGGAGGCGTGTCATCACAGAATGAAAATACATCACGGTTAGTATGAGTAGATATTTCATCAGATTCTTCAAATTCGGACAATTCTTGCAGTGATCCTGTTAAACAATCAGTACGAATACCATGACCTAACGATGATTCATATTCCTGTGATTCAATAATAGAATGCTCAGAAAAAATATTGTCATCCATTCCACTAAAAATATCTTGAATGAAATGGCATATTGCAGTTAAAATTTTTTTGGTTCTAATTCATCTCCAATTTTACCACCTTCTGCAGTTCCATGCTTTCAGTGGAGAAATGTCAATCAGACTCATATACTGATAAGATTAAGGGGCATGCTTTCTGTGAGCATGCAATTCCAGACCCATGTATGCAGCACATGTCATCCATACCTCGATCTGACAAGGTGCAATATGTGGTCCATTTCAAAGTCAGAAAATGCAGTATTTATGAAACAGAAAGGCAGCATAGTTGGAAAAGTATGGGATATTGCAGCTGCCAACAACAAGGGATGCATCAAGGTATAATAGGCTAAAATATATATTTAAAATAAAAAGGATTACATCAAAGACCACAGATGTGTAAAAAAAAAAAAAAAAAAAAAAAAAAAAAAAAAAAAAAGACTCCGATTTATCAATTATATTTTTATAAATGATTTTAGAAAGAAATGCTTATTTTTTTAACTGACACAACTCCTTATTAGTTTTTTAATCTACAGGTAAAGCTAATGAGTTCAAGTTTGGTACAAAAAAAAAATCAGAGAAATATTAAGGAATTTATTCATTTATTTAGATTATGATGAATGGCCTCGACAAAATTATGCGTCTTGAGGATTTCCATGCAGAAGACAATGAATACTCAAGCTTATTTGCTGGACATCTTAGCAGTAGACATTCATTTGTAGAAAGATGGAGAACCTTTAAAAAATCAGGTATGTTTTCTTATTAAAACTTAACACTGCTTGCATAAAGTTTGCAAATTTAGGAAGTTGATAACTAGAAACTTTTTACATATTACTTGGAGATATATAGGTAGGATGAACATGCATGTCCATGCATATTAATTTAAAGAAAATATTTTTCTTTTCTTGTATGAGAAAAATCAGGAATTTTATTGGAGTTTTCAGTAAATGGATCAAGATAATCTCCAACTTCACTTATTTTCTAAAATGCTTTTAAATGAAAAAATCTGATTCAGAAGGAATACTAAGTTTTGCGTAATATTAAGATGCAATAAGATTTTTGAAGGGACTTCTAAAAACATTTAATCAATTTTGTAAGCATGGTAACATTCCCATATGAATTTTAAAAATGGGGATGGGGGGACAGTGACTAAAAAAATATGGTAAAATTTTGAACAATTTCATGCAGGGATCACCATCATGCATTAATTCACAATCCCCCACCATGTATCAGCAGTAAAAATAAATGGCTACTAATTAAATTGACAGTACTTCATGACTTGCTTGATTTTAATATCCTGTAAAAAAAAAATCTTAACTATAACATTCTTAAATGTTTAGATGTATCTGTTTCAAAGCATCTGTTATCTAAGAAATTAAATCAAAGCCACAAGCTGGCCAGTGATTTGTTTACGTCTTTAGGTCAATTACTTTTTGCTGTATTTCATGGAAAACTCTTCTATCAAACCAATAAAACTTTCTAACTGATCAACCTACTTCTGCAGCGATAATAATTATATCTAGCAATTATTAACTCCATTAATCAACTTGGCATTTCCCGACCTCTTAAAACTTCATCAGATTGAATTTAATACAACTCAGTCAAATCAATCTAACAGCTGTGTAAATTACAGCTAAATAGACATACCATTAATTCCCTCAATATTACAGTTAGGCCCTCAATGCATCTAGGAACATTAACTCGCCTTCATCAACTCAGACACAAACAATTCACTGATACGTGTATGATCTCCTTCAATATAAAAACAAGAAACATATTGGCCGCAAACCAATTGTTCCTTTATGAGGCAACAAACTGAATTACGTGATCTGTTATTAATATATCTGATATTAATCTGTTAATTTATCCTGGTGAAATAAAACAGCTAGTGCATGCACATTGCAGGTGCGGAGTTTCAACAACAACCTAATTTTCTTCACAAATATTTGGGACTCCTCTCTCTCTCTGTCTCTCTCTCCCTCACTCTCTCTCTCTCAAGCAAATCCAAAGGAGGGTGTTGAAACCCCCACGACCCCCCTCTAGATCTGCCACCACAGTTTCTTTTGTTTTGGTGTTGAATTGTGGCGGGAAAATGCTTTGCACATTGTAAAACGCCCTGAATCCTCGTCTGCTGGAGCAAAAATTTCGTAATATTCTTTCTTTTAAGAAATGAAAATTTTATTTTTAAAAATTTCAGATAGGAAATGTATATATATACGTCATTTTAAAACAAATACAATTATAAATTCTATTTAAATAAAGAAAAAAATAATCATTGTATATATATATATATGTATATATATATATATATATATATATATATATATATATATATATATATATATATATATATATATATATATATATATATATATATCTTTGTCTTTGCTTTAGGTGATGCCCAACACGTGTACTAATATGAGTTCATAATTCAGGATTCGATCAGATAAAACATGTACCCATTTTTTTTTATTCAAGTTAAATTTATGCTTTTTTGTTAAACATTTAGACACTATTTATTAATATTCTATATGATTGTTAATTAAATACTTTTATTTTTTTAACTCCGCAGAAACGCACGACTACTTTAAACTTTCATATCAAATAACCGACCGCCTCCTGGCGGCCGGTAATAATGCACAACCTATCAGTAAGACTACAATTCTAATAAACAAGACTATAAAATTCCATACTTATATTATATAAATGCACCCAGAAAATAAGGAATTTTCACATTATATTATGAAGTGTTTCCTTGATGAATCTGTAACATGGCCATAGGAACCGGGAAAAGGGGGGGGGGGGGGCATGGGGGTGCCCCCCCCCCCAATAATTTTGCCGATATATAGAACACTATAGAAAATATGGCTTATACCATTCAATTGTGCCCCCTCAATAATAAAGTTTGATGGCCTTTTTCTGTTAAGAATTTTTTGTAGTTGATATAGTGCCCCCAAATCAAATGTGTGCAAAACGCGAACACACCGTGCCCCCAAATAAAAAAATATGTATATGGCTCTGCCCCCCCCCCCCAAAAAAAAAACTAAAATTGCTTCCCATGGGCCTTTGTAAGTCCTTTTAAAAGTTTTGAACCACTATTAAACCACCCACTCCCTAAAAAATAAATAAGTTTTACAAAATGCATATAGAATTTTCTAAAAACAGTTAATTAGGAAGGCATGACTGGAACAACCTGCATGTGGTAGAATCACTGCATTTTTTGCCTAAAGCCTAGGCATCAAAGGAAAATTGAACATGTCACAGTTGTAATTTAATTATAATTAAATATATGCTTTGTACAATTTATTAAGTGCCGTAATCGAATTGGCTCACATAGTCAATCAGATACAACCAGTTTGGCTGATATATGTGAGACTTTTTTTGAGTGTTTTGTTGTGTACAGGTGAATTTCTATTTATGTATGACCATATGCATGATTTTACTAATTTGTGTGCACTATATTATAAAATAAGAAATTAATTCCGCCAAATTCCTCACCCCAAGCTCTTGTGCCTTTTCAGTAGCAAATCACATATTTAATTAACTTGGATTGATTCAATCGATGCATGTTTTAATTGCAGAAGGAACAAGAGCGTGACCCTGTGACAAACAGAAACTTAAGGGAAAAATCAATTCTTTCATGATCTGGGTTGTACATTTTGGAAATGCAAGCATGAAAACTAAAAAAAAAAAAACGCATTTTATTAAATTATAATGAGGGGGAGGGGTATCATTAGAAGTCTAATTCTTTATTCTTTAGATCCAGAATATGTATTACTAATTGATGGGGAGTCACTTTGCTTTAATTATAAGCATCATCAAATAACCTAGTGCAGGGAAATGAAAATCACTTTGCTATAAGCATCAATTCATTATACAATGTACAAGCTAGCGTATGTGTTTGCTGTAAGCACGTTTTACTGTTATTTGTTTCAATGCTATATCATTGTCATGCACCCTGAGCCAGAGGGCTTTGATAAGATGTCATTACCATTTCATTTTATACTTTAATGATGTACACAAATAGTTCTACCTTAAAATAATATAAGATTGCATGAAGTCATTATTTGATGAGTGATTTTCTCTTGCTTTTGAAATGAAATGATCAAATCGAAAGGTGAACTTTCTCTGAGTTAATTAATTTGATAAAACAGAGATTGAAATAGCTCTGCATCACCAAATACTATTCATATATCATCCTTGCTTTACAAGATAGTTGACATTGTAAATTATAGTTTCTTTAAAGACTTGCAGGGCATAACACATTATGCAGTGACTCAGAGGAATACTGGCCTATACAGAGTTCACACTCTGGTAGCTGTAGATAATGGTTCTTGGTTAATATTCCCAATGGTAATCTTAAAATAGATTAGACATTAGTTAAATCATTACATTCTCGGTTCATTATCTCCAGAAAGAGTTTGATCTGGTAGTGCACTGTAGGAGTAATGTACATCATACTTCATGTGCATATTTTTTTTTCATAGATGAAAAGTGAAAAAAAAAGTCTTTAAAAAATTATAATAAAAATCTAAAATAATTCAATTTTCTCATTGGGTAGTATTCTTAGTGTATTATTTACTTAATATTTTTTTTGATTTTTACTCTTGCAAAAATAAGTGTAGAAGAAATGTATTAATACAAAAGAATATTTTTTTTTTATTTAGTGTATGCATAATTTTATTTTTAAGAACTTTTATTTATTAATATTATTAAAAGGAAAAGTTCCTGAATTGTTCCTAAGCTTGATTTACATAATGGAGGTTGATTTTATATGGGTCTGTCTACTTTGTAATGAAAATACTATGAATATTTTATATATTGAAAAGCCCTTTAATCAACTCTATGATTTTTATAGATTATTTATATGGGTAAACAATTCAAAATTGGAGATGAATTCAAAGCTGCAAGCTTATAAAAATGGGTGTTAAACATCATATGAGTATTTTTTAGCCTTTCTCTGTTTCAATATTTAAAATACTCCTGAGTATTTAATTGAATTGTAA